AGTGGTTTAACCATTGGATAGCGTTATCCACCCTGTAAAAAACAAACTGGATATTAAAGTGCTGTTTCTACCCCTTGGATGACCTAGTAATCAACTAGTACTTATCTACTTTTGGAGGAAGAAATGACGATAGAAGCTAAGAAAGTTATTCCTTACGTATGTACCCTGACTTCCCTGGAACACGTTCGAATTCGAACCCTGCCCCACGATTAGGATTGCAGTGCACTATCCGTAAGTCATTGTGCCATCCCCTTTAATGCTGTTTTTATTATGATGATTTTAACAGATTTGGTGAAGTTGTGTTAACCAGCGGCTGGAGTGGACACTCCATTCCCACCGGCTCCTTCTATTCAACGGGAAAACTCTACCTGTGGATACAATTTACAACCAACGGAGGTAGCTCAGATAGCCAATTCCATAAAGGATGGAGTGGCTCCTACCAGAAATATTGGCCTTATGTTAGCTACTAGAAGAAGAACCGGCCAATCGCCTGAAAGTATAGTGGTTGCAACAAAGCTATGGTTTCCCAATATTGTCGTAGATTAGGAGGGTTTTACTAACTTTGGTATGAAGTATTAGCACAGCAATGCAGCAATAAAGCTAATGAGAAAATTAATTTTAGTGTTTCAGTGTCGTCTTATTCTCTTTAAACAGCAACCCTTAGCGTTTTGCCAAGTTGTAGTCGATTTAAATATTTCCCTCTCTAACGCCTCGCCGTTATTACATTATTTGATATGGATGTGTTACAGTTGATTACCAAGATTTTCGCTTCTACACGATCCCTTCGTTCTTTTTTCTTCCAGCAGTGTTTGCAGGGCAAGATTCCATAAAAGTTTGTTTTTTTCGTGTCATATTTCTGGAATGTTTATAGCTGTAAATGATGTACGTGGAAAATGTTTGGGAAGCTGATTCCTGCCTCTAAAATGTTAATTGATCAATTTGCAAGGCTTGATGTACACTATTTTGTTCTTTCCCGTCCTTGGATTGCGAACAGTGTAGGGAAAATACGGCCAGCCATGACAGGCAGCACCTGAAGAGATAAAAACAATGGGTTAAGATGAAACAGAAAATAGAGCAGGGTTCTAATTGATAACGACACCTGAGCAGTTAGCCGACTCTACTAAGGAGATCGCGAGTACTGTCATTATAGCAACAGAAAGTCAAAATGCATGCAGAGCGTTTTTTAGCCGTTTTGCAGTTTAAGCGTTGAGGGGTGGGAGGTGGGTAGGGAGTGGCTAGAGTTTTGTTGCAGTTCCCAAAAACTGCAATAATCGAAATTGGGTAGAACTACCTTGTTACGAATGCATGCACAGAAGTGTCTCAAAAAGAAAGAATGGTGTGTTCTTCCTCAAATGAAATTTTTTTCGAAATTGCGTTAAGATGTACGCTCCATCTATATCAGAAAATTACTTTATAGAGCTTCCATCGATGGTAAGAGTCGGATAACTATTATTTAAAAGTACCCAGCTTTTGCCTAGACCCCATCAACATGTACATGAACTTTATCTTGGACTTGTTAAGTGTGGGTTTATTCTCAATTGGCTATTAGATCCTCATTCAGGCCTTCTTCTAAGTACACAAAATCTTTGCTGGCAACGGGAAGACATGAAATGAGTTGTTAAAAAGCGAGCAGGTTTTGATTAGTTCTTATAGATTTTTCCAAGACACAAGGAAAGATACTGAAATTAAAAGTCTCTCAAACTTCTCAAATCTGAGATTATAAGGTAAATTATGACAATGTCCATGCACAACTATCAATGTCCATCCACAACTGTTGTTTTTGATGAAACTATATCATTAATTTTAGGTTTCTACAAGAGAAGATCAATCCTCTCCTGGTTTCTATTAATGGAAATATGTATTTAGTTTGTTTTGTTAATTTTCGAATTCAAGTTCATGATAGTTCCCCTATAACACTTTTTTTCAATACCGTGTCTGCCATCCTTTGTCACAGTTATCAGTCCCCCCCTGAAGGTTGGATAATACTGCGCTATTCTCTTAAGAGCCATTCTGGCAGCCCGTGTTGGGCTGTAACCTTGACGGAGAAGCTCAACTGCATGAAAACTATGAGACAAAAGTACAATATCAGGTTGTCACGTTTATGCAAGTTGTTTAAACACTGCCTACAAAGCTTGTTCATGGGCCGGTGAGTTGCATCCCTCTCAAAGCCCATCTTTTCATGCCAGGGTAGTGTTTTAACAGACAGGGCGAATAGGCCAATGTCTATATATATTAAAATGCTAAGTTAGTTCCAAGGCTGAGGAGAATCACTTTAGAAAAAACAATATTCATTCTGCATCAGACTCAACCTCTGTAATTCCCTTGTTCTACAATTGTTAGACTGAACGTTAGCACAGAGCCCTCTTTGCAAGGCTTTTTAATTCAACGTATCGCTTCATAGCCACGCAAAACGAAGTTCAACGTTGATTGGCCTGTGGATACAGTGGCAGTCTTATTGATAAGGGAAAAGGTGTCAAAGTAACACTTGCAATAGGCCACGTTCGATATATCAATATTCTTACATGGCGTTCAGGACAAACCTCTATATTTGGAGGTGCTTTCGTTATGTACAAGCCTCCTTTGGGAGACACAGGAAACTCAACAAATTTGCAATTTTGTCCTGAAAACCTCGGAGCCATGTTACAATTTTGGTATATCGAAAGTAGCCGATAGGCCATAATGGTATTCTCGGTATTGAGCTGGAACAGCTTGCAATGGAGGCTCGTGTAATTTGCATTTGAAAAGACTCTGCAAAGAGGCTATGATCCCTTGACTCCCCGCAGTAGCCTCAGTGTAAAGCTAGTTCCAGTCCACTGTCAAGAATACGAATATGGCCAATTGCCCTCCGCTACAAAATCCTCTTAAATTACACTTCAGGCTATAAAGAAAGGTCGATTATTTGACACGTTAGTGACGAAACATCAAGGCAAATAGCGAACGCTATGATGAGGAGGGGTAATATGTGTTCATTCAGTACCTCGGCGAGTTTTCAACCACAGAAACCTGTAAATAACGTGCGTTCAAGGCGTA